AAGAATATACCTAATATGTGTTAGTAAACAGAATTTTTTCTTTAGCTCCTTTTTGTTTTTTGTTTTGTTGTTGTGTTTTTTTTTTTTGTTTGTGTTTTTTTGTTTTTTGTTTTTTTAGACAGAGTCTCACTACGTCACCCAGGCTGGAGTGCAGTGGTGCAATCTCAGCTCACTGCAACCTTCACTTTCCAGGTTCAAACAATTATCCTGTCTCAGCCTCCTGAGTAGCTGGGATTACAGGCATGTGACACCACACCCAGCTAATTTTCGTATTTTTAGCAGAGATGGTGTTTCACCATGTTGGCCAGGCTGGTCTCGAACTTATGGCCTCAAGTTGATCCACCCGCTTCTGCCTCCCAAAGTGCTGGGATTATAGGCACGAGCCACCATGCATAGCCTCCCACTCTATTTTTGAACAAAAAGACTAAAAAGGTTAAGAAATATGCCAGGGAAATCAGCAAATGGGTACGACAGGGGATACCCTGGTGACGTGTTTCCCTGTGCAAATCAAAGCATTGTGTCACATACAGCTAGTTCCACCTAGCAAGTCAGTACACAGCTCAGACGCATGTCTAGGATCGTGCAATCATCTTCCACCTATTTAGATGTTTCTCGTCCACCTCAGGCTAGCTTGCAACAGGACAGATTTTCAAATTTTGGCATGCCGGTGTCAGGAAATGATTGAGTTGAGGTTATTTTTCTAACCTCAGTGTCCAACACGGTTCTCAACATTCCTATTTGTATGCTACCTGTGAATTCCTCATTGAAAATTACTGCAGGGAACATCACTTTTATGAACAATAGTAATTTGATCAGAGTAGCACACTCTGAGTTCAACACGAATGAACTTTGAGGCTGAGAAGCAAGTCTTCTACCATCTACTCCTAAGCCTTTATCTGGGAAAGGAGTATTCAGTTAGGAAATAATATCCAGATAGGCGAATTGGCCAGAGAAATTTTTGATAGCTTATTTATGTTTATTCTTTTTACAGGGGCAAGACAATTAAAGATAGAACATTCAAATCAGTCTACCGAGTGGGTTCTGATGTAAGGGAGAGAAGAAGTCCAGCATTTCAGTAAGTTCAGAGATTTTTTTTCTCCTGGATAGGCTCTCAAGTCAGTGGAGAGACAGACCACTCCCTAAACTGCAATCTATATTGCTAATCCCATGCTAGTAACTCAAATCAATGAGCCCAGCATCTAACTCACCTTCTACTTCCTAAACCTGCCATCCTAGCCCCACTACTACCGTTCACTATTCTTCTTTTCTAGGTAAATACCTTGTGACACCTTGAATTCTTTCTTTCTGCCTGTCATCCACATTCTGACTTTTGTCCTTTTCTTTAGCATTTATGGCGTCCCCTCCCTTCTGTTAACCAGGTTGAGGTCCTCATCTCCCACTGCGTCTGGGCAACACCTACTTTGCTTTCCCTTCCTTCCAACAACTACCCCCCACTCCCCACCCCTAAACTTTTGGAACCCCTGTAGGTATGTCCTGTCTCTGCTCTAGAACTGGCTCCCTTTGCCTCAATAAATATTCTTGTTATTAAGATCCTTTTCCTGCCGAGACCCATCCAGCCCTATTTCCACCGCTCCCTAGCCCACCCCTTTTACTCCAGCCCCATGCACAACCATTTCATCTCTGTCTTTGCTAAGGATTAATACTTTTCCTCAACTTCTCCCCCAACAATGCCCAAATCTAAGCCCTCTATTCAAATTTCTGCCTAAATCATCATCTGCCACCAAATCCCCTTACAAGGCTTCAGAAACAACTTATCTCTTCTGTCTGTAAACTTCACTTCTCTTTAACCTCAGCCCCTTCTGGTTCATGCTGACCGTTTTGTTTCTTGTTAACAAATGACCGTGTGTTATGTAAAGGCATTTACCCTCCTTTTCTCTTCTCTGTCCTCACTCTGCTTGTGCCTCATCCCCCCCTACACAGGAGACATGGGAAGAGACTGACAACACGCGTGGATCAGAACCGCAGTAGAACTCCTGTAGACCGTGAAGTACACCTTCTACCCCTGCAGAAAGTAAACTGCAAATTCCGACATTCTTAACTTTGTCACAATTACACAGGATGGAGATTTATTATTAAGTCATTTAATATGCCCAAGATGCCTTTAAGAAAGATTTAAATAAAAACTCAAGGGGCGGGCACAATGGGTCACCCTGAAATCTCAGTACTTTGGGAGGCTGAGGTGGGAGGATTGCTTAAGTCCAGGAGTTCAAGACCAACTTGAATAACATAGATAGATGCCCCCAAAAAGAAAGAAAGAAGAAAAAGAAGAAGGAAGAAGAAAGGAATGAAGGAAGAAAAAAAGAAAGAGAAGAAAAAGAAAGAGAAAGAAAAAGAAAAAGAAAGAAAGAGGAGAAGGGGAGGAGGGGGAGGAGGAGGGGAGGAGAAAGAGGAGGGGGAGGAGGAGGGGGAGGAGGAGGGGAAGGAGGAGGAAGAGGAGGGGGAGGAGGAGGGGGAGGGAGGGAAGAAAGAAATTTGAAGTCAACTTGAGGTGTCAGGATGGCTGCAGGCCAGGAGCTCGAGACCAGCCTAGGCAACATGAGGAGACTCCATCTCAACAAAAATATTAGAAAATTAACCAGGTATGATGAGTCCTCTGTAGTACAGGAGGCTGAGGCAGGAGGATCACTTGGGCCCAGGAGTTTGAGGTTTCAGGGACCTATGATAGCGCCATTGCACTCCAGCCTGGGCGACAAAGAGAGCCACTATCTCAAAAGAAAAACACACACAAAAAAACAAAACAAAGCAAACCAACCAAACAAGAAGAAAAAACCACACACACACACACACACACACACACACACACACACACACCCTCCCCCCCACCCCCAACGCAAAAAACCGTCGAGGCTTTCTTGCTTATGAGTGAGCTCTGCCGGGAGGTGGGATGGACTTGGGGGAGGTTGGGGCATCTCAACTTTAACTCTCAGTCACAGGAGCGAAAACCAGGAGCGCTGAGGTCAGGCTGCAGAGGTGATGCAGAGATAATTGCCATGCCGCTCCTGGTGGTGGGGTTGGTTTTCACATTCTCCATCTAAGCCGCGCATTTGGGGGAAACTGGAGCAAGCCCTTGCTCCACGGAGTATTGCTTCTAAAGCAATAAATAGCTTGAGGTGAGAGAGGCGAAACTGATTGTCCCTAAGATGGGACTGCAATAGAAATCCGGGCAGCCCGAACAGGCACCCCGTGCGCCAGCCACCAGCGGGGCCGCGTGGGCGTCGCCGGCTGGGGACCCGCCGCGAGGAGGCGCCGCGAGAGCGCGGGTCCCCGCCCGCGGCCGGAGGAGGGCTACAGCGCCTGGGCCAGCCCCCGAGCCGGCCAGGCGGGCGGGCGCGCGCCAGCAGACGCTGGGCACTGTCACCGAGGGTGCGCCGCGTGCACCGACTGGGGAGGCGGACATCTGGGGACCGCCAGGCTCCGCCCGTGCTCCTTGCCCGGCCGGGGTCCTCGGCTCCTGCTCACGGATAGCAGCCACCGGGGCGGAGAGAGATGTCGCCCGGGGCCAGCCAGGGTCCCAGGGGAAGCCGGGCACCGCCGATCGCACCCGTCTGCTGCGCTGCGGCCGCGCTGGGGATGCTGCTGTGGTCCCCCGCCTCGCAGGCGTTCAACCTGGACGTGGAGAAGCTCACGGTGTACAGCGGCCCCGAGGGCAGCTACTTCGGCTATGCGGTAGACTTCTACATACCCGACGCCCGCACGTAAGTCGCCCGGCCCGAGGAGGTGCGCGCGGGGCGAACGCGATCCCGGGTCCCATCCCAGCCACTCCGCCGCGCAGTCCCCGCAGTCTGGGATCCCCGTCCCGCCGCCCTCCCAGGGTCCCGTCCCTCTCCAGACACCAGCCCCTTCTCTCCCCTGCCATGCTAGATGCGCCTTGCGAACTTTGAGCTAGAGACATGCCACTTGCATAGAACACGCAAGTCCTGGGTGTTCCCGGCACCAAGACGCATGCATCCTACAAAGGAGAGAACGGGACGCAGAAGACCCAAGCGGGTTAAAGCCGCGACCACAGCGCGGTCTGTTTATGCGTAGCCTGGAACGACGGCGTCTGGGCGCAAGAGCTGTCGGCTACCAGCAGCTGGGCTCTGTCCTTGGCTTCCTCTCACCCCACCCCCTTCTCTCTTCTCACTGCACACACAGAGCTCCACCTAGGGAAGTAAGAGCGTTTGCACTCTTGGAAACCAGGTTGCGGACGCCCATAGGTTTCCAAGAGGAAATCAAGATTGACAGTCGGTCCTCATCATAAATACGTTCCTGTCCCCCACGCCTGACCCAGCGTCCCTGGGTTTGAGGCTGCGGAGACTGCATTGCATGCGCACGCTTTTGTGACGCCCAAGGAGTGACTTTCTCCAACCCTTTTGCAGAGCGAGTGTCTTGGTGGGGGCACCCAAAGCCAACACCAGCCAGCCCAATATCGTGGAAGGAGGAGCCGTCTATTACTGTCCTTGGCCCGCGGAGGGGTCTGCACAGTGCAGGCAGATACCGTTTGACACCACCAGTAAGTGAGATTTGTCCTTCTAAGCTGCGGGCCTGGGTTTAGAAGAACCAGGGCCATTCCAGGGGCGAATTTCCACTGTCTTGGTGCGGTGCTCGTTTCGCCTGCTGGATGTGTCCGTGTTGTGGGTTGTGTGGGTCTCTAGAGAAAATCAGTTTTTTCAACTCTGAGTTAAGTGGAGGTAGATGTTTAGTGAACCCTAAAGAAGGGACACTATTTTGACCCTGAGTGTTTGGACGCATCCTGGCAATTCCTGTTTCCCTACTGTTCTGGGATGAGCATTTTCAGGGTGAGTGGATGTTTTGGAGAAACATGAAAGCTACGTTCTAACCTTGACTGTGGAGAGAATTTGCTTTTCAAGGACAGATCTAGAAAAAGAGAGATCCCTAGCGTTTCCAGTGCCCAAACTCCGGAGGCAGGACGTAGCTGCCGCAGACTCAGACATCGCTCCTTGTTGCTGTTTAATTCTTTACAGAAAGAAAGAATTGTCTTTCAAAATATTAGACATCGGATGTAAGCTAGTGCAGGCAGAGTGTGGATGGATTACATTCATTTCCAAAATCCCTAGACAGATGTTTCTTATTTAATTATATGGAAAATACATTTTAAACAATTCAGCCTGGTGGTTTCCTCTGGTGTTTTCTCTTTAGAGCCTGAGAAAATAATTTAAATGCAATGCTTTCAAAAACATTAACACTGAGTGCTTTAATTTGTACCACCAAAACTTTATGAAATCAAAAGGTATATGTTATCAGAAAGCAAATATCTCTTTCCAGAAAAATGTGAATATGCCAGCTTGAATATCAGTCTGATAATCTTTTAAAATACCCTTTGCACCACACAACTATTTTATGATTTCATACTTGATTTGAGTTTTTTAAATTGTTTGATTAGTGTGTATATAGAATTTACACAGAATATTTTCACAGAATTTTGATGAAATTGGCTGGGTAATAGTTACCTGTTACTATATCTAATTTTTATCTTTTATGTTAAAGGTGAAAACAATTTCAGTTCTATAAATATGAAAATCATTTCAAAGCAAAACATACTATACAAGCATTACCTTGAATTATTTCCTAATTACCCTAATTAGGAAAGTTTTTTTTTTTTTTTGTGAGACAGAGTCTCTCTGTTGCCCAGGCTGGAGTGCAGTGGTGTGATCTCGGCTCACTGCAAACTCTACCTCCCAGGTTCAAGCAATTCTGCCTCAGCCTCTCAAGTAGCTGGGACTACAGGCACGCACCACCATGCCCAGCTACTTTTTGTATTTTTAGTAGAGATGGGGTTTCACCATGTTGGCCAGGCTGGTCTTCAACTCCTGACCTTGTGATCCGCCCTTCTCGGCATCCCAAAATGTTGAGATCACAGGCATGAACCACCATGCCCAGCCTAGGAAAGTATTTTATAAAAGCATAAAAAAATTATATTTTTATCATGCCTACCTTTTATGGTCACAATAGCTTATCATTTTATTAAGTAATTATGTTATTTTATACCAGTTTTTATAAGCTGTTACTTTTAAATTTGAGTATTAGCAGCCAGGAAGATTAAACCTTTTGATGCTAATTTGTAACAGAAATCCTTTAATTAGTTGTTTTGTCAAGACTTGAGATACTTTCTAGCTACTATCCTCTGGGTTTAAGAATAAGCTTCCTAAACCAGAAGAATTAAACATTTAAACATGAAATTAATGCCATTTTAATAATTCATGCCCAAATCATTTGTATTTTTGAAAGTATTTTAAGCCCAGGCCAAATAAAGACACGAATCATTGACATTATTAGAATTTACGCTAAGGAAAAGAAGCATTTATGTTTTGAGACACAGTTGAATTTAATAAGCTTCTTGTATAGTCTCATATATATCAAATCAGGATCTGATTAGCATGTTTTTCTTTTGATAAAAGAAGAATCCGTGCCTGCTGAGATAAGTTACACCTGACTTACTTTGTAAGTATTCATCCCAATAGGTGTTACAGGCCAACAGATTAAAAACAAGTGAATACATATGTCAAATATGAATTTAAAAAAATTAACCACTCCTAGCTGAAAATTTTCAGTATTAAATTACAACAGGTAGGCCAGGAGTGGTAGCTCATGCCTGTAATCTCAGCACTTTGGGAGACAGAGGCAGGTGGATCACTTGAGATCAGGAGTTCGAGACCAGCCTGACCAACATGGTGAAACTCTATCTCTACTAAAAATACAAAATCAGCCTGGGGTAGGGGTGCATGCCTGTAATCCCAGCTACTTGGGAGGCTGAAGCAGGAGAATCGCTTGAACCCAGGAGGTGGAGGTTGCCTTGAACCGAGATTGTGTCACTGCACTCCAGTCTGGGCAAAAAAGTGAGACTCCATCTTTTAAAAAAAAAAAATTACAATAGATAATATTTTCCAAAGCTTATTCTAAAGCAATTGCTAGAAGTGTGAATTCACTCTCCCATAGAGAACTAATGCTAAAAGATGTGCTTTGGTTTCCAGAATAGCCCACAAGAATGTACTGAACCCTTATTGTACAGTTGAATAACATTGAATTATATTTGCAGTAAAACAGAAGGGGATAAACGAGAACAATTTCGGCAATTAAATAAATAGAAAAATAATGTTGAGAAAAGATCAGTGTTACTTGGAGAAATGCAATGGCCTCTTTTGTGTAGGTTAGATATCTGGATATCTCAAAGGGCGTTAGAGATTGATGCTGCTCATTCCAAACTGTGTCTTATTTTACTTCTAAATATACGGGAGTTTCCCTGATAAATAGATGAATGCATTACTCCTGCTATTATACTTATCAACTACAATCACAATAATTTCAGAATTCATAAATGGAACAAAGTGAGGGAAAGAAAGAGGGAGGCAAATAGATGTTCCTGAAATAATTGAACAGGAATTTTAGAAAAATAGAAAAGCAAGGCTACACAAAGCTTTTGAGAAATGAATGGTCCATGACAGAATGAACAAAGCTGATACCTGGGAAAGACAGGGGGTTCCACTAGGAGAGGAGAAAGGAATTGTTGAGAAAAGAAAGTTCCCCATGTTGGCCATCAGGGGGTACTGTGGCCCCAGAAACCTTGATTGCCAGTGGAAATGGCCTGAAAATGGGTGTGGGGAAAGAAGTCACAGCCCCACAGCCCAGGTGTTTGCTACCCAGTGGGTACCCACCCTCTATACCTCATCTGTGCCAATTGCTTTATCCTTATACCCTCAGAGAGTGGAACCGGCAGTGTCTGCCACTTGATGCAAAGCTCTGCAGGTAAAGAAGGCACAGCAGAAGCCATTGTATTTCCAACCTGAACATCAGTTTTGTGGACAATGTGGAATGTTAGAACCAAAGATGAAAGGTGGAAACAGACATCTCTGGGTCTGGGTCCTGCCGTCGGTGTTGCCAAAGGCGTCCCACTTAGAGATTGCTGCTATGTACCAGACACTATACATGCGTTGTTTCTGCTACATAAGACAAATCAAAACAACTATGTAAAACTCATTCTGTAAGTAAGGAAACTGATATCAAAGCGATACCTAAGACCATACAGTGGTAAGCGGTAGAAGCAAGACTGGAATAGAGGTCTGCCCAGTTCAAAGCCCGCTTCTTCACCTGCTTTCCTTCCAGAAATGGGAGACGATTGACCCTAGCAGACTGCAAGTTGAAGATTATAACGAAGAGCCAAGGAGCTCTGGAAGGCTCTATTGGCCTTCTACCCCCCACGCCGTTTCCCCACCCCAACAGTGGTTTACAAATTCCATTTTAAATGATTCTCCAGAGGAGAGTTGAAAGGGAAAGCCAGTTTTGGTAGAAGCACTGTAGAAGCAGGCTTTGTCTTGGTGGGAATGGTCAGTCGTACATGCCCCTGGTTTGCTCAAACTCCCACAGAATGCCCATTCACAGTCTCCGATAAGCTGCCTCCTGAGTTACTCTCTGCCCAGTGCCAGTAATATATGGTTCTCCCCCAAAAAGGAAGAAAATTTCACTGCTTAACTAAGTAGTGGCCCCAAATTGACATCCACATAAAGGAGTGTGATGTGTCAGGCATGAAAATGTGTACTGCAAATATTCATCTGTCAAGATGTCAGTGACTTTCCCGGTCTTTTACCCTATTTGTGCTACGACGTCTGAAATCAAGACATCCTAAGTAAATTTCACCTTTCAATGAAATTGTTTCAACTTGTTCATGTCCCTGGGGTGTCTACAATTGGGTGATCTGCTCTGGTAACCAAGTAAATTCTCTCAGCTTAGATTTTGAGGGAGACAGCCCTATAATTGAGTCCCAGAATCCAGTTGAGATCCTGTTCCTCATTTATTTAAGGTCAATTGCCATTTTCTAAAAACTGCCTTTCGTTGTTGTTTTTCATGAAATAATCATTATTGACTTTTTATCTTACCATATAACTTGATTTTTTAACACTTCTCACAAATACAAGCACAGAGGAAGCTTGCAATAGCCCAGCACTTCAAATGCATGAATACTATAGGCATATGTAGTGAGGGAGGTGCAGAGAGTAGATCATTTTCCTGCTCTGTACAAAATAAAGGGGTTCCACAAAAGAGCACTTCTCTCATCTCCCTTCTGTCTTTCCCTCTTTACTTCAACAGAAGAAAATTCTTCCCATCACCAAGTTGATTTCTTTCACTTTTGTCTCAGGAACTCTTTAAACTATGCCCCATGTCTTAAACACTTTAAAACATCACATCTGCCTAATTCATGCCTCTCACTTCTGTGTCTACTCCAAGGTTTCCTTTCTTCTTTTGCTACATTTTCCAAACCAATATGTGGGTTAATTAAGGATTGTTAGATTGCAACCCTTCGGCAAAAGGGAGAATGAGGCCGGGCGCGGTGGCTCACACCTGTAATCCCAGAACTTTGGGAGGCCGAGGCAGGCAGATCATGAGGTCAGGAGTTTGAGACTAGTCTGGCCAATAAGGTAAAACTCTGTCTCTACTAAAAAATACAAAAGTTAGCCAATGTGGAGGCACACAGCCTACTCGGGAGGCTGAGGCAGAAGAACTGCTTGAACCCGGGAGGCAGAGGTTGCAGTGAGCTGAGATTGCCCACTACACTCCAGCCCGGGCGACAGAGTGAGACTCCCTCTCTTAAAAAGGGCGGGGGGCATGGGGTGGAGAATGAATTAGACAATGAAAAGGACTCTCACCTTTGGAAAAATTGCAACAGAGTTCCGGAGTATAGCACACAAGTATTTGATTGTTTGAAACGCTCAAGTAAAACGTTTGAGGAGAAAGGTAATGTGTGCTAATTAATGATGAAAATCATCATAGCTCTAATAATGACAGAGAAGCAATGTAGCCGGGAACCAGTCACCATTAGGAACACACATAAAAAGCAGACCGGAAGAGGTAGGAGGTGCCATTGAGATTTAGATGTCATCTGAGAAAGACTACTAGAATTTGCCTGGCCTCAACTTAGTATCTCTGTGTTAAAAAGAAAAGAAGAGAAAAGAAAAGAAAACTTAAAATGGAAGACAGTTTGGTTAGGATATTTCAAAGCTCTGATGACAAGATTTTCGTTGGAATTGCCGGAGACCGGAAGCCTTTGTTTTGGGGGGGTCTGTTTTATTTTGTGTTGAGTGATCCCACAATGAGAAGCAGCTTAAAGCATCTGGTTCTGCGACTGGCAGAGGGTTGTTTTTTGATAGTGCTGGCTGTGCCCTTTTTCTCATGTGAGGGTTGGGAAACATATTGGCCACATAAGTCTTGCCTTTCCAGCTTCCCCAGAAAGAAATCAGTTTTTGTTCAGGAACAAAGAAGAGAAAAATGCAGGTTAGAGTTGCCCAAGTAAATGACAGAGGAAATAACATGCATGTTACAGGACTCAAAGACAGGAGAAATCTGTGCTCTAATAAGTTTAATTGGAAGGTTACAAAGGTGGGGGAAGAGCAAAGCCCAAAGACAACTTCCTCTTTTTAAGACTTAACAATGAGACTAAGTTTTGCTACTCAGAAAAAAGGTAGTGTGTGTACACACACACAC